TTCATTTTGAAGTCTTGCTGGTTACGTCATTCAGCTGGCTGCAGCTTTGTTTTGATTTCTACGATCGGACTATGATCAATAGCGACAGATAAACAGTGCCAAAAATGCTCCTATTTTGTAATAAATTGCACTATTTTGGAAACGAGGGATCGTTTTCTGGTTAAGGGGGTTCGCTGGTAAAAGGGGGTTCGCTGAAAAAGGGGGGTTCGCCCGAACCCCTAAAAACCCCCCTGGCTACGGGCCTGATCATGAGGGCATGGTGAAGGCTGATTACGATTTGGTGGCACATCGATTGAGTATTTTCATTCATCTGGCCATGTAAGTCAGTAGCGTATCTAGATGTCTTGAAGGGGGGGGGGGGGGCGAAGGTGAAGTGGGGGGGCTCGATGATCAGTTGAGAGGCGCTAATTCGCAAAATAAGGTGCCAAGTGTTCTATTTCCATCTCGAACATTATGATTAACATGCATATTTAAATTACATTCAACAATAACACCTAATTCACCATGATGGCAAAACCAATTAACTCCTTGAACGTTATTAGAGAAATAAACGGGCTTCTTTTTAGGGGAAGTAGTCATGGACATACGGTACTTACTTACATTGTGAGACATGGGTCAACCCCAAATCTTACTCAATTCTGGGGCGGATGCAGGATTTGGCGGTAGGGGGTGCATGCAAGGTGCGATCGCACCATCTGCACCCCCTGCATCCGCGCATCCGCCCAGCCATTTGATAAGCATTTGAAGTTCATTCTTATAATATGAGGGTGAAGTTTTTTACCAAGAAGAACCACCAGTCCGGAAGAGTTTTGGACATCTGGACAAAAACAAATAGGCCTGCCTACATTAAGTTATCAAAAAAAAATAATAATCCCGACAAATTCATCAATGGTGAGCTTTCGTGACAAAATGAATCTTGTGGTATCAATAATAAAACAATGAGTAATTAGTATATAGGCCTATAGGCCTATTTAGGTAGGTAATTATTAAGCTTTATTTAGGTTTTTGGATCAGGTTCATAGTTTGAGTAGGCCTACAACAAGAGTAAGATCATCAAATTCAGTCTGACTACATTACATCGAACTACATCTCATTAAATTAGATTTAGAGATTGCTTTTAAAGATAAACGACTGATACATTTTGCGTTAGTATCCTCAGGGAGTTGTTATAGTGACCCCTGGTATCCTATGGATTATGAAAAACAGCATGTGCTTCAAAAATACCTTTAGGCCAATCTTGTAACTCAACTCAGATCTTTTGCTACAATGAGGTACTGCATAGGCCTACATATTCAGAAATATTAAAACCCATTTTTTGTGAAAATATAATTTCAGATATATTTTCTTGAATATACCAATTTGATCTGCCAGTGGCGTAGGCCTCAACAATGATTAATTTTGTCATGACATTTTTGTCACATGCATTTTGACCATGACTGTATTTGTTTCATTTATAATATTAAGCTTTTCATTATTCTTCCTGATATTTATATTTATAGGCCGAGTCAGTAAGTTAAGTCTGCTGTGCTGTAAAACGATGTTTATGTTCCATTCCTATGAACATAAGGATAACATTTTACGTCAATTAAGATGTTATAATTCGAATTGAACAAGAAAAAAACAAAAACAAAAAACAAAATGTGAGATTGGTTTGTAGTCCTAATGAATTTAAGTATAATCTACATGAGTTGCAATTTTCATATAGAATATATAGACAATGTTTAGTGTGCTGTCAAGTCAGTTCCATTTCTATTTAATCTTTGGAGTTCACAGATGTATTTTTTTTATATATTTTTTCCAAATTGCTTATTTGTTTCCAATATTTCAATTTCTGTATTTCTGGAATGAGTATTTTCTTTAGTCATGGAAATGATTAAGTTATTCTATGACGTATTAAATGTATATGTGGTGTTACCAGAATACTATGAGATAATAATTTATAGATGTTTTTCTGAAAGATTTTTTTGTATATTATATTTTATGACATTTAAAGTTTTCGGTATGCCGCCCTCTCTCGGTCGCCTTTTAAAAATTTGTTTCTCACCACGGCCGCGGCGGGCTTAGAGATACATACAGTAAATCGACCGATAGAGAGAGAGAGCTAATACTAATAGTAATAATCTTGTCGAGAAGGGATACTTGTATGGATGGCTGCATTTTAGATGTAACTAGGCAAATGAACTTTAGAGCTCTAGGCCCTAGGTCTAACCTTAATTTCATAATGCACTGAGACTACATTAATTACATAGGCCTAGGCCTACTCCTTAGTTTAGGTAGGCCTAGCTAGGCCCTCTAGCCTAGGAAGGAGGGCATAGGCCTACTTCCTAGGCCTAGCTGGGCTAGAGCCTAGGTAAGGCCTGCCTGCCGAGGTAGGCCCTAGAGGGTAGGCCTTTTGTTCGTCAATAGAATTAATTTTTTTTTCTCAGCTTTATTATTAGATACTTTTTACATTACCTTTCTAAAAAATATTTTTTGCCTGATCCTCCGACATTTAAATAAGGCACATGTTTATATAGTGAGTTTATTCACACATTAGAAACATTATGTAAAAATAATTAAAACTTGAGTATTTTTTAACAGGAATTTATTCTTTTTAGACTAACACTATGTCATACGAGGAGGTCTTAGTGGCTGCGAAGCGGATCTCCGACTTTGTGGTTCGAACTCCAATTGTTACAAATGCAACAATAAATAAATTGACTGGTAGAGAAATCTTCTTCAAATGTGAAAACCTTCAAAAGACTGGATCATTCAAGGTTCGAGGGGCACTGAATTCTGTAAGCAACCAATAATAATATAAGTATTGTCTTGATTAAGTTTGATATAGACTGTGGTGGGAAGTACTGTACCGTACTATATGCTTAAATTAAAAATTAATCTACCGTATTAAATTATTATTATTGATGTCATGCAGGGATGGCTGGTGGATTTACCGAACAGGGGACCGATGTCCTCGAGGAGAATGTTAGCAGGTGTGGACGGGTGTCACTCAAAATCACTCGGAAGTAGTCCACTAATATGCAAGAAATACATGATTTTCCTTGACGAAGTGTGTTTTTGCCTCCTGACGGGCCCCTGCTTTTGCCCCCGCCCTTCTGATTTGCTAATTTTAGATGTCATTCTTCAAAATTTTTTTAATGATTCCCAGCAAATTATGCAACATCTCTAATTATCACTAATATGAGTTATTATTATCATACTTGGTTATAACATTTTCATTATTTAATTTGTTTTTGTCTTCAACAATTTCAGATGATTTCTCTCAAGAAAAATTGCAAGTCACTGCCAGGAGTAGTAAGTACATGTATTTTCATTACAACTGTGCAACAGTCTATTCAGGTGTGCACCCCTCCCCTCCCCTCCCATTCAACTAAAGCTTCAAAAACACTACCCAATTCAGTGGCATAGCAGTTATGAGCTCTTTACGTGGCTTATAGAAGAAAATGTCGATTCAGTACGATTTACTACTAGGGTTGGGGGTGTGGCCCTTTTGTGGTATTGCAAAGCCACTGGAAACCACATTGGCCAATTATTTGTACCTGACCTCAACCGGCATGGAGAGCTCGCAAGAAACATATCAGCACAGTACAAATCACAGTATATTAATCCCAAAATAGCATATAGTATGATAAAATTTAATTTATTATATCCTTACTTTGTGGTCCTATTATAATGACCTTATCCCGAACAGCTTAAAGTACTATATTTGACCAAGCTTTTGTTGTTACTTAGCCAAGGCACAAAGCATTCTATTAATATTGTATTTTGCTATTGAACATTTGTGAAACTATAAATTAATTTGCATGTTTATTTTTGAATAATTTTAGACAACACATAGTTCTGGAAATCATGGTATTGCTGTTGCCTATGCTGCAAAGTTGAACAATCTGCCATGCTGTGTAGTCCTGCCAAACATCACATCAAAGGTGAAAGTTCAAGAGGTCAGGAATTCAGATGCAGAGGTCATACTCTGTGAACCGACTCAGCTTTCTAGGTAGGTATGTACTACAGTATAATGAAATTATTTTTGTTGGTTGTAACTCCATTACATAATATATTATGCTTAGTAATTAAGATTTTAAAAACATTGATGTGTTGAGAAGTTGTCGCATTGACTGCGGCGCTGAAGATGACTTGGCCCACAAATGTTGAGGTACACATCACTGTTCCATTATATATGCAGGTGTTTCACAAATGGCAGCATGTTGGGTGCTAGAAACTTCAATCACAGAATAATGATGCTATATCTCCATGATACTTTTTTATTAGCATTTCTAAGACTGTGATGCTACACAATAGTTGAGGCTAACCCTGTGCACTGCTCAATAAGCCTTATCTGGCAGTTGCTTATACTACTGTATAAAAAAATCATTCAAGAGCTGGTAATATGGTCAGACTATGATTTTACACCAAGTTTCAAAAGACCATGATACTTGTAAAGATTATTTTTTTCTGCATCTAGAAGGGAGGCATGTGAGAAGGTGCAAAAGGAAAGAGGCATGGCTTTCATTCCACCTTATGACCATCCAGATGTCATAGCAGGTCAGGTAATAACTCTACAGATGTATCTGCAGAAGCTTGCAGTACCTCTACTCCTTACTAGTAAGAGAGACACATACAATGCTTTCCAAGATATGCTATTATAGTGTGTTTATGCAGAGATCAGGATATTCATATTTTAGGAGTGTGAGGGCTCCTGTTTAATTAATAGAAAATACAGTAATTCAAGATGATTAATTTTCACATGTAGTCATTTAAAACTTTTAGAATATATATATATATTTTTAAATAAATGGATGCTGTGTCAAGATAAGGGTAACAACCCCCCTCCTGCTACACATTTCTTACTTTAGCAACAACACTATAATGTACTTGCAGGGAACAATTGGGAAAGAAATAATGGAACAAGTTGAAGACTTGGATGCGATCATTGCTCCTGTGAGTGGTGGAGGACTGAGTTCTGGGATTGCTATTGGTGCTAAAGGAATCAATTCAAATGTCAAGAGTATGGTTTTAAAATGTTAACACATTTTGTAAGATAAGAGCTTTGAGGCACAGAATAGTATACAGGGGTTCGAATCTTGGGAGTTTCCCGGAAACCGGCATGGCCTCTTGCACACTTACAAGCATCTCCTGGAAACTAAATTATCTCATGTTAAGAAAGCTCAATAGAACAGATCTACCTGAAGTGGCTTCTCCCAATTTTGGGGCTCCTGGGTAAACAATGCATGCTCTTAATTATGTACTTAAACAACATATTCAGTAAAATATAAATAACTACAGGTCTCCCTCCAATTAAAGACCACTTTTGGGACCAGGGTTTACATGATCTTTAGCAGCTTTGGTCTCTAATTAGAAAAACAATTATATTGGAACCAGAGAAAAGTACTGTAGTCTTTAATTGGAGGTGGTCTTTAATTAGAGGGAGACATGTATGCCTAAATTTGAGCGTGATTTTGTACCTAAAGTGTTTAAAATGATTTCTTTATATTTTTCTAGTGTATCTTGCAGAACCAGAAGGGAAGGAAACTGAAAGATCATTAAGAGCAGGCAAGTGATTTAATGTGACAAACGTATGCGAATGGGCATAATGTGTCATATCACAGCCACATATGGGCAAATCAATTTGTCGTATTAAATTTGATAGTGTAGAAAGAACTAAGGATAATGATTATGATTATGGCAATGCTGAAACAAATGTATAGACATATATATATATATGTAAATAATATAGGGATTGCTTTTTTTTCATTATAGGTGAGAGACTTTGGCCAAACCCACCCCAGTCACTGAGGAGTGTAGCCGATGCATTGACAACACAGCAGCTTGGCCAGCTCACTTGGCCTATTCTCAAGGAGTTAGCAGAGAAGGAGGTTTTTACAATGGTTTGTGAATTTTTTAACCCAGGCACAGGCCTACACTATTATAATTTTTTCTTTAAAATTTTATCTGACTCTTTTCTTGTATTAGGCGCTAAATATATAAATCTGATTAAATGTTATGTAAAACTATAATGCCAATTTTTTTTTTCAGAATGATGATCAAATAATATCAGCAATGAAATTGGCTTGGGAAAATTTGAAGGTACTGCAAGATTATAATTTTCATCACTTTTATATAGGACACCATTATTTATTTTATAAAATGCCTCACTTCGAATAATGGCAGCGAATTGAAGACTCAGGCAAAAATTATATATTTCATCATCTTCCCACCAGACACTTGGCCCACTGGTTCAACCACTGCCTTAACCCTGAGATATCAATTTTTTTACTCTGGTAACATGGCCAGAGGCACTGTGGTTACTGTTTAAATCGCTGTCCGCACAATCAAATTTATGTGACAACTTTTGTGATGTGCCCATATATGGGCATGATGTCATATTTTTTTATCGCTTAATATCTGAGAGTGTGGACAGAAATTAGTACTATTTTGAATGCTTATGTTAAGCATCTTCTTATCAAATTTGTTAACACATGATTGTATTCCATTTTTCAGCTTGTCATAGAACCTGCTGCAGCAGTTGGTGTAGCCGCCATTTTATCAAACCAGATGCAGCGAATACCGCCCTCTGTTAAAAGAATATGTGTAGTTCTATGTGGGGGAAATGTAAACTTGGATAACATACCTTGGGCATGTAGTTAGCCATGGGATGTAAAACAAAGAATATGAAGTGCAAATCAACTGATATATTTATTTTACATTTATAAATTGATTATTAAATCTGATGTAATCGGTACTATTACTTGGTACTTAAACGTCTGATGATTTGTTTGTTTTAGCTGTAAAGTATCAATTACAATTTTAATTGTTTTGTACAAATTGTAATTATTAGACTAAGGGTAAAAATGGAAGATGCAGAGTTTCACGGGCATGTGATAAATAATGTGGTTGAAGTTGATCTATTTTTGTGTCTACCTCCCCTGTAAGAGTGAATCCGGTGAATAATGGGATGGGTCATAAGTTTACAAAATATTATGCCATGCTAAATCAGACCTCTCCTAGAAAGAATTAAAAAGTCAAAAATCTCTTACTTGTACAGTTATTCAGTTGAATTGCCAACAGATAAAGCATAGATGAGTTAAAAGTAGCTGTGTCAAGCTGGGAACCTATTTTTGTTTTTGTTAAGACAGCACATTATCAATACTTCCATTGACTAGTGTGTTTTAATCCAAACTGTATTACAATAATGTACATGCTGTATTCTATCCACAGGGGGAAATGAATACTACAAACTAATGGTGGCAGTTTACAATAGCAATTTTTATTTACATTATTTCCATAGAAGGTAATTTTGAAAGTATAAATGAAGGAGGGTGATGTACCATTATACAAACAGTGAGGTATTTCCACAAACATATGTAATGTTTGATTTATTTATCCCTCCACCCTTATGGATAATGGTAAATATCTACAGTATACATGCATAACTTATTTCAAGTTCCACATTGTATTTTTTTAAATGAAATAAAATTCATACACCGATACAATTTTTAATGTTTAATTTTGTAATGAGTTTCACAAGGACGTTGAAATGATGGAAGCTTTTGCTGTGCCTTTATCCTAATATTGCACATTTTAATGGCTTAAACTCAAAAACAGTAAACTCAATAGCAGTGTCCACACTATAACCTTTGTTACTTGCCCATATATGGGTGTGGTATATCATCATGCCCATCAATTATATTGGTCACAGAAAACTAGTGTAGACAGAGCCTTATATTTAATCATATTTACATAACCCATATACAAGTCGGTAAATAATTGTAAAATGGCACTATAAATAAATAAAAAAAAAAAAAAAAAATCTAGGTAGCAAATGATATCATTATCAAAGTTTCACCTGTTGAATATTAAATATAATAATACATTAAATCCTATGATATTAAATCACATTTTGTATGAATAAAATACATAATTGTAACCATTCTGAAAAAATAATTATTTAAGCATTTAAACTAATTACAGAAAACTAATTTAATTGGATTATGAAAATACTGTAAATCATTATTCTTATTTTTGTTTGATTTAAGATTTGGGTTGGAAGACAGAATGAACTTACTGCATCATGAAATTAAAAATTATGAATGTACTTGGAATATTAACCTATACCTGGACAAAAAACCTGTGTTGTTTTTAGTCCCGTAGTTAATGCTTTACCAGCCAAAATGTATGGAGTAACTAATGGTTGGCAATGAAACTTAAAATAAAGCTTATATTTTTAAAAGAATGGAAAAAATTGGCCACCCAATTGACCAAAGTTGCCTGGGCAGCACACCACATGTTTTTTTTTTTAAATAGCACCAAAATCTCTATTAAATCAAAGACTTATAACTGTTATAAGTCCTTGATTAAATGAATGCTATATCCATATAGTTATCTTTAATATATCCCAATTATGCTAACCACCTGCATAAAGCACACTAAATATAAACAATTTTTAGTATATAAATTAATTTTAATATGAATTACTAAATATAATTATTTGGTCTGATTAATCATGGCATTTAAGGGGTCTATCTGATTGGGGCTAGGCCCCACTGTCCCCTTCTAGTTCAATCACATATATACCACCAAGCTCTTCAAAACAGGCTCAACAGTATTAAGATCCTCCATATCCTACTAACAATTAAAATAGCAATATAAAACAGTAAATTATTACAGTAGGAATGAAATATAATTAAACAAAATAATAATAATTAGTAAATTAATAGTTTTAATAAAGTATTTATAATTTATTGTAATATTATTTTGTATATTAAAAACATCTGTAAAAATACAAAGTACATAAAAATTAACTATTTAAATTCTAACCCTAACGTTTTGTTCAGGAATGCTAAAAACTGGACACATCACAGTTGACAATCTAATTACCATATTTTTTCAGCTTTCATGTCAATTTATGAGTACTTTCACTTCTAAAAAGAAGAGTGGGAATGTGTTCGTTAATAACCAAACTTTGTAAAACAAATTTAAAAGTCTTGATCCTTTGCTCAACAACATTAACAATCACAATTTCTTACAATCTAGTAGGCTGGGTCTACATGAATCTTCATACCTATGATGGTCATACCAGGGAACAGTGGAATTTTTCACTGTTCCCTGGTCATACTGTATCTACAAAATCTATTTTAGGAACACATCTTATTTACAAATAACCAAATTTCATTGGGATACATAAAGAGAAGTGTCTACTGTATAGAAATATATAATGTGACTTTTGTACCTAGGAATACACTGTTCTTTATAAAGTATCTTTTATGATGGGAAGGATGGTATATGTGGCAAAGACAAGCCAAACCAGTCACTCGTCGCAAAAATCGATTTTGAGTTATTAATACAGTGTCAGAGAGTAAAATAATAGCTATAAAATGGTAAAAAAATCATTCAAATCGGACATTTCCTTATGAAGTTACAAGCGTTTAACCACACAGCTGTTTAAAGAACAATATATGAGAAATTAACCGTCAAAGTTTATGATTTCAGGCATTTCTCATGCAGAAACTATCTTTAAATCCTTAATAAGTATTGTTTTAACATTGAAAATGGGGGAAAATAACAGTATAGAATGATGTGTAGATATATAAAGGTTAGTTTAATGCAATAAAATAGATTTTTTTAAAATTTGACATTCCAGCATGTTTTGGCCATTTTCTCTGAAACACGATTTGCGACGAGTGACTGGTTTGGCTTGTCTTTGCCACATATGGTAACAGCTACAGCTCCAGTGTGATGTCATCAAGTACTTGATGTTTCATATCCAGCTGTGACTTCATCTTTTTAGTATAATCATAATGTGCTGCTGACTCCAGCTCCAGTGATGGTATCAAGTACTGTACTTGATGTTTCATATCCAACTGTTACTTCATTATCTTTTTAGTATCATCATGGTAATGTGCTGTTGATTCCACCTCCAGTAATGTCATCAAGTACTTGGTGTTTCATATCCAGGTATAACAGAATAAAGGAACAAAAAAAAAACCCCCCAACAAACCATGCACTAATGAAAAATTAGTGCATGGTTGGGGATAGGAAAATAACATTGGGAATTGCAGTGATGACATCATGATTGACTTATAATAATCATTATAGTATCATTCATCATAATAATGTGCTTCCGACTCCAGCTCCAATGATGTCATCAAATACTTGATGTTCCATATATCCAGCTGTGAATTCATCATTATAGTATCTTTGATATGTGCTGTTGATTCCAGCTCCAATGATGTTAAAGTACTTTATGTTTCATATCCAACTGTGACATCATCATATATATAGTACATAATTAAGGAGGTACTGTAAGCATTAAATATACAACACTTTGTTGAATGGAAGCATTACTTTATTCTTGTGACCTATAAGTAAAATCAGAAGAATCTAACTGGTTTTGTATAATACTTGATATGTTTTGTATTCAGCTCACAATGTATATTTTTTAAAGTATTCTTGAGATAACCATAAAAGGAACAATAGGTGCTGTTGACTCCAGCTCCAGCGATGTCATCAAGTACTCACTAGCTGTTTCGTATTCACCTTGCGACATTAATATTCTTCCAAGATGGTTCCTATCAAGAAAAATCAACCAATCATTGACAACAAATCATTGACACAATGAATGAATTATATGTGGGAGACAGATCGAGATCGAAATATTGATATAAATTAAAACAAAAATGTAGGTTTAACTGCAGTTATGATTAGACATAATCAAAACACATTGAACCTTGTAATTCTATTATTGTATTGTTTTTCTCTCTGGTTTACTATTCAGCACTCTGGCTTTTTGATGTTTCAACGGTGCACACATTCTGCTCCTTATGGGTCCTGCCAAAAATATTACCGAATAATATCTATAGGCCCTTTATGTTCAGTACCCCTACTTTAGCCAGTGAAAGCCCATAGGCATTATGTCACTGTTTAGAACACAGTTTGAGGAAGAATAAAGAAAGACAAACCATGTAGGCTAAACTGTGACATAACACCTATGTCACTGTTTAGAACACAGTTTGAGGAATATTAAAGAAAGACAAACCAAGAAACATGTGAGGTTGGGTCAATATTCACTGCATCCTTCAACAGTTTCTCTGCCATTGTGTAATTCTGTTGCTCAAGATACAGCATACCAAGGTTCTGAAGGCTTTTGACGTATGATGGATTGATGGCCAGTGCATTATCATAGTACTTCTTGGCATCGGTTAATTCTCCCTTATGGTCATGGATACATCCCCACTGTAATACAGAAAGATTGAAACCATTTAAGAGTGTCCTCTGTTGAACTTCAATTATAATACGTAATAGAAGAACATGACACGCTTATGAACTTGTATTTTAAGTTTAAGTTCAATTCAATTCCAATAATTATTGCAACTTTGGAATTCCATATCATTTCAGTGACGTATCTAGGGAGTGCGCCCCTCCAAAAATTGCTCGCGGACCCCAGACGCCCCCAAAAAATCATGATCAAGTAAGTAAAAATCACCTTATTTTGTGAGTTAGCTCCCCTCGACTGATCGTCGAGGCCCCTACTTCACCTTCGCCCCCCCCCATCTGCTCTCCCACTTCAAAACTTTTAGATACACCACTGATATCATGATGCATTTAAAAAGAATATGATATCAGCCACATTTAGAGATTTTCATTTAAAAAATTCTAATTTACCATGTGTAATATTTGGTGTGACAGAGGGAAGATACTAGCTGCCTCCTGCATACAGGATTTTGCCTCATTCAGCTTACCAACAGCTATGTAAATCTCAGCTGAAAAACAAAAAATGAAAGAACTTGACCATTTGCCTGTTGTGCACAGTAACGTAAAGTGTAGGTTCCATAGGAATGGTTCTGGGAATAAATGATTTAGTTGGGGTATCTGGCTTCAAATTATTATTTATTCTTTTTTATCTGAATAAAAAACAAATATATGATATTTTTGCCATGCTGGGTCTAGATGGTCATGTATCTTGTGTCTGTACCTTGCTTGGAATAATACCTGGGATTTCTGTTTCAGCTGGGCATTGATGGTTATGTAGGATGTCTGTATCAGGCTTAGAATGAAAATTGGAAATTTTGTTTTTTTAAGTTTATACTGCAGAAGATAGAAAAACTTTGCCATTCCTGTCTTAATGGATCCTCCCACTCACAAAACGTCAATGCAAATGTACGCAATCATATACATTTGTAGGAAAGCGCATAATCCTGGCCCCGTTCTGATTTGTCAGTTGGTGAAATCATGGTTTCCTTAAAATTGCTACACTGTCACTACGGGGTTTTCAGTGCCATCAATGTAATACGCAGCAATCCCCGACAGAATCAGGAAGGCTCCTTGATTCAACTGACCAATCAGCATCACCAAAAGCTGTCAGTGATAGCATGTAGCAATTTTATGGAAACAAAGCTTAAGTCTAATTAACATTCTCAAAGTTTCACTGTATGCCATATTAAAAATTGTGTTTGTTTCTATTACATTAAATATGAGTATTTCTTCCCTAAAGTTCATCTTCAACTACATTAAGTATTTTTATTGTTACTGATTGATAATATATCTCAGGTGATTAAAACTAACTTATTGTTTAGTTGATTAAAAAGTTCTTGATACCTGTAGAGAGCCATATCTGTGCCTGGGTGTACCACACTTGCTGTGAGCCTGGCTTTGGTATGTAACTGCCCATTGAAGAGGCAACCTCTGATAATGCTTGCTCAACCCTGGAAGCTGCTAATGAATTATGAATGGATCCTGCAACACAAAATATTCAACAGATTTATTATGCACAAATTCTGAAAACTCTTGTAAACTACCATAACATCTCGAATAGAAGCCCAATGGGCTTAATCTCGAGAAGCAGCCCATCTCGAATTGAAGCCTTCTCTTTAGTTTGAAAAAGTAGCCTCATAGGCTTCTTTTCAAAATAGCATGGGCCTTTTTTTTCAAAACAGTACAGTACATGCACTGTACATGGTTATTGATTTATAGGTTTTAAGTAAATTAGTTTGCTTTATAAACTGGGTCTCATTATGGCTTTGGATGTTTATAATCATAAGAAAAATTCCTGGTTTTGACAGGACTTTAAACCAAAGACACTGCAATTAGAATGCAAGCAACACCCAAGCTACTAAGCTCCACTACCTTAGATTATATATTTGGAAATATGTTAATAATAAAAAAGTATGTAACCTGAATCCAACAACACTTAAGAGAAAGGCATAAATTGGTATTTGGGGCGGGGTGCGTAGACAGTTTTATAACCAATTCATAACTAATTTGCTGGCACTCTAAACCCGAGCATTCCTTAGCCAATCTTAATGAAAGCATGTAAAAATTGCAAAACAAATATGATTTGATAGACTTTAGTTACAATTAAACTAAAGATATTAGAATATTAATTCAATTAAAATGAAGATGATAAAAATAATACTATTCATTAATCAAGGATATCATAATTTTTTCCGTGCTTCTTGGTTCTGTATCTTGTTTTTCATTTGTTTATAAAAATATCAAATACATCAAATCAAATCAAATGATGATGATAAAAATAGCATATTTATTTATTTCCTAGCATACCATACAAAACCAATAACATAATAATATTTATAGAGCTTAATTTACATCCTAATGTAGCACATAAAACCAACACCATAAACAAATTCTAAAGCTTAATTTAATTCATCAGTCTCACAAATGATTGTTATATAATGTTATAAATGCAATAATATTACACACTTTTGTGATGGATTCACATTTTGAATTTTTATATCAAAGACAAAGTATGTGGGGTGCAGAGTTTCGTAACTGTAAAGAAAGGAGCTTTATAAATTACTAGATTGGATTGGATTGGGTTTGACCTAATACACTCATCATAACCAGTAGTTAAAGTTAGTAATATAATTTTCACTTTTGATTTCAACAATCACTACATCATTAAAAAAAAAAGGAGCAAATATATTGTGCTCAAATATAAATTAGCTAAAATAAATACTACATAGCAAGTACCATTTGCCTCTAATTCGAGAACACCTGAAAATGTTTCCAATTAGTTGGTTAGCTTTGTGTTAAAGATTAAAGATTGTTAGTTTGTGCTTTAGAAAACTGATCTTGAATTAAAGGGCTTATCACCAGTTTCTGTAGTATAAAGTGGATTACAGTGGGATATGCCACTGGGTTGGATGTTAGTCAATGGCAGGTTACTTCCAAAAATTGTTTGATTGAAACAATACATACTACACTATTACTCTATTTCCTTACGTTACATTAGCATCTTTATCACATATTGCACTTCTCTTTCCATCCTTTTATCTACCATATAAAATCTATTATCATCAACATTATCACTAAACCATCATTAGCTCTACACAGACAGTACATAGTTCATATTAACCCTGAAACCAGTAAGATGAACAATTTAAGCTACACCAAATAAAAGAGTTAAAAACAAAGCTAAAATAATAATTAAAAAAAGGTTAAACCAAAGCTAAAATGAAATTTATAAAGCAATTACCTTTATACTCATCAACATTGTAATTCATTAAATGAATGAAAGTAAAATAATGACAAGAGAATGGATCATACTATAGTAATATTTGTGGAGTAACAACAACAATTGTAACAAATAAACATTATAGTGCAATGTAACAATAAGTTTCTAATATTTCATATATGTCTGTAATAAACATATCTTCTGCACCACACAATTTGATCAAATATTTAAATAAATATTTAACATCTCTCTTTGTTATGGGGGGTCAGACATTTTATTCTAAGTTAGCAAAGCAGAGCACACTGCCTACCTGAGTCTCTGTCCTTTAACTCTGATATGTGAACGTGTGCCATGCTTCTCTTGTCACTCCCAACCTTTTCTATTAACACCATGCCTTGAAATGTATCACTGTAGAGGGAAAATTGAAGCACTATTATAATCTTTATTATAAACTTCATTACTATGGTCTAATTTTTGAAGCCTGGACCCAGAGATTGCAATCTGAGCAGCTTAATCACCAAGCAATAACTTCACTCTTACTGGTAAGTAGGGAGCTTTCGATTTGCGCAACGACGCAATGCTAGAATGGAATGACTTATGCATGACCGTCCTACCTGGCGTCCTACGTTCTCTGCATATGTAGATTTGACGAAATTGCAACCTAAAGCCCCCTAATATTAAAGCACCCTGTTGCCAAAATGCCAATTTCAAATCCTCTTATTGGCCAATTATAAACCTCCAATTCTGGTGGATTTTAAAAGTTATTTTTATTGGTCAATTAATTTTAAAACCTTTTTTATTGGTCAATTTTAAATTTGGACACCCCCTCCTCTCACCAAAATCTCTTTGGGAAAAATGTATGGAAACAGATGACACTCTTTCAATGAGTGCAACATCTATTTTTTCTACTAGAACCGGAAGGATATAAAAAACAGAATAATTTTATCTATTAATTTTAACAAACCATCTATGGTAGAGTACCTGTGCATAATTTTGTCATGTGTCTTCTTCCACATACTTAGCATGGACTTGCAGGTCATAAGGGCTTCATCTGGTCCTCGCACTATTGCTACGAGTTTGATCATAGTGAATAACATACTGTGGGAAGAAACATAAGTAATGGTAAGAGAATAAGAAGTTGTGTTTCATAGGTGTTTAATCTAGTGATGGGGTAATAATAATTTGAAGTGCATAGCACACTGCGCTATATAAGTCTACCATTATTATTATTATAAAATTCTTTACTCTCATGTAAAACAGGTGTAACAGCCTTAACGAGCTCTGTCCAAAGTGGAGGGGGGGGGGCTTGACCTGTCTGATGGGGGAATATTAATACAATGAAATTTCAAAATTCTTTACTGTCATGTGCAACAGGTGTAACAGCCTTAACAAAGGCATATTTGTGGTCCAGTCTGATGGGGGAATATTAATACAATGAAATTTCAAAATTCTTTACTGTCATGTGCAACAGGTGTAACAGCCTTAACAAAGGCATATTTGTGGTCCATTTTAAGCTGTTTTCTCTTGTGTGTGGTGCAGTGGCCGCTCTAAGATATATTTTCTGGGGGGGGGGGGCTGAGCTGTCCAACATGGGGACTTAAGCTTGTAGGCCTGAGCTGGAGAAAAGGTTCGAGAGGGGGGTTCCCCATCCAAAATGAGATTTTTTAAAGAATAGGAACATTTGGATGGGCCGAAATGACACTCTCAGACTGTGACAGACATGTGTTGACCTGTCTGGTGGGGGACTTAAGCCCCTGCTGCTCCCCCACTCACGCAGCCACTGGTGTGGTGGACTTTGATCAAGAAACCTGTCATCAAATTTCACTGACCTCATGTTGTCTGGGTACTGTTCAATAGCTCCCTTGATCACCTTCAATGCGTCATTGAAGAGTTTCTGAGATGACAGCAGCAAGGCTAGTAGGTGCAGAGACTCAGCATGGTCACTGCACAGTTTCAAAGCTGTGCGAATCTTTTCAAGAGCTTCAGGAATCTAATATGGAGAAAAAAAAATGCTGAACTATTAACTGATTTAAAAGCAGACCTTTGTAGCCACTATTTTAGGAACAGTAAAATATCAGCTTTTTACTGTTGAACACAGGAAAACTAAATATAGTATCAACTATGGTAACACAAAATGACAGCATAACATATTTAAACACATGTATTTAATGGGGCAACATCTGTTCTGCCTGGTCAGTTGTTAAATTTGATTGAAACTACAGGAAGCCACACTGCATTTGTGACACCTGGAAAATAGCTGCTGTTTGAAAGTTTTTTATTAAGTGAAGTGATGATTGTGGCAAAGCTTTCAAGAGATTTGTAACACCTGGAATAAACGCACCTGTCTTGAATATGCTAATTGAAGTGCATAATGGAAGGCTATCAAGTGATCATGTTTATCAAGATGCTCTGCTTTCTTTAAAGCTTCCAGCGATTGCATCTGATGTTGCTGCCTTTCTTTATTTAGTGTTGCTGGAAAACAAAATATATATAAAAAATAACATTGACAATATTATTAAATATTGCAAATTTATAATGCTCCAACTCCAAAATAAAGACTTACCACAGATACGATGATTAACAAGTTCGCTGATAGACGCGAGTTCACATCCGACAGGGTTCACTGAGAGCGACAAGGAATTAACGCCCACACTATATACTGCTACATTGTATTGTACGTCAACAGAATACAATGTTTTGGCCTGGCATTCAGGAAGTAATGATTTCAAAATATATACCATATGTTTGTTCATGTTCATTACAGTTAATAGCAATGATGGTGGTGCACTTTATGCTATGGCGTATAGGAAAGAGCTAGGAAAAATAGACTTGACAGTAGTCAACGTGTTAAAAGCTTTGGTAACAGTTATTACAAGTAAGCCCGTGACCAGAGGGGCTTTTAGTGGTTCTGGCAAGCAAATCATTTTCAGAGAAACCCCCCCCCCCCCATTTGTCCATTGAACCCATACACAATAGCCTATAAACACACAAAAAAAACTTTCCTCTTCACCCAGTGGTTGTTTTTTTCTTCTTTCCTTCAGATTGAAAATTGCTTTTGAAGGATAATTACAATATATTCTATTTTTTTAATTGCATCAAAAAGTAAGCTTTAAGCCTGTGAACCCCATTTAACTCTTCATTGACGTCCCTTAACCCAATGCTCAGAACCCCTCTTTTACCCAATGCTCAGAACCCCAATTTTACCCAATGCTCAGTATCCTCATTAGGTCTGGTACTGCAGGTGAAAAGTGGGCTTTATGACCTGCTGAATGCTCTGCTTACCTTCTCCAGCCTTCATGGCTTCTCCTATGCCGAGCATCATATATGCTCTAGCTGTAAACAGCTGTTTGCTCTGCAAGGAGATAACTTTCTTGCAAAATTCAATACCATCATCAATCTGTTTGCAGAAATAACAATCAACTATTGTCAAAAACACAAGGCCAAAAAAAAAATAATTGATTATCAATTACAAAGATAACAATAAAGGTTATTAACAATTATAATTAATGATACAATAAGGGAAGCAAAAATGTTTTTTCAAGCACAGTGAAAATTGCTAACCAGTGTCAATCTATCAGGCATTTTTGATATATCATTGAAATTTTCAAATTTGAAGCATAATATTACTTTACAATAAGCATGCAAAAACATTTGACAATGTAAATGTATATACTGTACAGTATATGGTTCTTTGTTTAGACCAACAAAGGTATTCATATTAGGCCTCCAAGAGGGAAACCTATAGTGGATGCCTACAATATATATTCTGTAAACCAAGAGAAAACCCCCTACTCCTTTTAAATGGTGTAATAATATCTATGAATAGCTTATACTGTATCAAAGGGACAAGATAATTAGAGCAATTTGTCTTAATACCCAAAGACCAAGCATGGCAGGTCTTGAACAACTGGTCTGTCTCAAACCAAATTCCAATCCCTAAGCGCTGCATAACTCACTCTCATAGACTGAACATGATACAAACCTGAGCTAAGTGCTTGAAGCATATTTTTGCGGCCATCATCAACACACTGGAATTCTTCGGCTGCAGTCGATGGCACTCTTCTAAAACCAGGAGAGCTCTTGCAAACTAATGATAAATATATATTAGAAAAAAAAAATACTCATCAAAAGATTGAGGCTACGTTCAGACTTGGATATAAGCCAGGCTTGAGTTAAGCCTGGCTGCGTTCAGACTAGCAGGATTAGCCAGGAGGCGCGAGCATTTGCATAATAATGAACCGTGACCAGGAAACGTGTTTCAATTGCTCGCGATTATGCTCGCTCACAGTGTACGTAATTGAATGCAGATTGGTCATAGTCAATGAAAGACCTCCGCAACGATTAAAGCCCGGCTTAGAAAAGTTAAACACGGTGGCATGCCAGGCCTGGTTACTAAATAGAAACACAGCCTGGCTTGAGATAAGCCACCTACTATAGTTCAGACTGGCAGGTGGATAAACCCTGTCAGTTGAGCCAAATTTATCCACCTAGTCTGAACTAGGCCTCTGTCTAAAAGCCCTGTCTGGATTATCACATTTTCAAAAAAATTGTGTATGCCCATATATAGTCATATATTTGGTCATGGTGTCGTGAAGATAAAATATTCTATTCTTTAAAAATACTCAAATGATTCTGTCTAAAGCCCTGTCTGGATTATCACATTTTCTTTAAAAAAAAATTGTGTATGTCCATATATAGTCATATTATGCCTATATTTGGTCATGGTGTCGTGAAGATAAAATATTCTATTGGCTGCTTTACAATACCTTGCCAGCACAAGTAAGTGACAGTGCAAACTGGTACCACAAATGGAACTCTTCAGATGAGAACTTCATACTCCTGTCAAAAGTCTAAATAAACAATACAAGTAACAACAAAATGATAATTATGAAAAATTAATAATAATATAATAACAACAATATTTTAATAATTTATTATAATTTTTTTAAATAATATAAAAATCAAACATCTAAAAATAATTAAAACAATTTTAAAATCTTAAAATAACAAGAGCGACCGCTCATCGGTCCGTGCATTCCTCCACGCTTAAATGCGGTACAGGTGCAAGGGTTAGTTATTATATTGGGTTTTTTGGAAGAGCTAATAAGATAGAAATGTTTAAATAATTAGGATGTTTATTTGTACTAACAAAATATTATTTAGAATGTTCATTTGTACAAAATTAGAACATCTTAAAATTGAAAAAAAAAAAAAATTCTTAAAATTAGAAAAAAAAAATTGAATGCCAAGACGCGATTCGAACTCACAACCTTAAGTTCTTTAGAACACATCCTTAACCGACTGCTCCATCCATGCGACGTGCCCTATTTGTGGTAAGGGCAGTAATGTACAGTCCTTGCTGAATTCACTGTTTTGTAGGTGTAGGGGGAACCCTGGGGTCCAACTTAAAAAAAGGGTGATGAACGTTTGTTAGAAATCACCTCTAATATATGTGTACAAAATTTTCTGCACGTCCGTTCAAAACTGGCGACACTGGACGCTTTTAAAGTTTTAGTAACAAGAATAAGAACAGCAGTGAGGTTCTGGAGTCAGCGTCTTGCGCGAACCCAAAAAATAGAAATATAAAGATAATATAAGCACATTCTGTAAGCTGTGAAGTAGCAGTTTACCAGGGAAGAACTCATGAAGATGCCAATACTTTCATGCTTAACTGCTAAAAGAGTATCAGGGGTAGTGTGCTACTTTTGCATACTCAAAAAGCCATGAAGATATTACTAATACTGCGGCCGCCGCCATATCCCAAGAGAGACTTATCCTAGGCCCTAGCTCAAGAATGGCACAACAGAGTATGAACTCATGTATGGACTTGATAAGAAGATTTTAAAATTAAATATTTAGTAAGTTTAAATAGCCTTACCTCAGAAAGAAGAGAAAACTGAGACATTTTGACCAGTGAAATGGAGAGGAGATCATAAATGGCTTCAATGTTTAGCACAGACTCGTTCCTTCCACCGGCGTACTCAGGAGAACGATTCAAAACCACATCCTTTGATACCTGTTAAATGACAGGTACGCAACAATAATATAATTATATATTAAGGCCCATGGGATATGGATTGCCAATAGAAATCTTATCTGCGTAAGCAGCAATCTATTTAATAACAAAAATAACGTTGAATTTGTATAGTGTATGATGTATGGACCACTATGATCTTTTGTAACCGGAAAAGCAATAAATCAAAGTGAATTATTGTATCTCTATAATGTACCAACATTATATCAATTATCCAATTATTACCAATTCAGTTTATTGTAATTAAGTTGAATTTTGCTAAATACAGTAATGCTAATCTCCTTTCCTTCATTTTCTTTTAATCATTTCTTCTGCTCTCTTATTTATTCATTTTCTTCTTCTTTATAATAATAATAATAATATACTTTATTTTTACACGGATACACTTGATTCACCCAAGGGTGTTTTTCGCCAAGGCCGTGCAAGGCCATGTAAAGTAACAACATATAAGGAAAATATATAATTAAAAAAACTTTGCATATTCTTTTCTCTACATTTTGCTTTCTTTAAATTTTTTTATTTTCTATCTTTTTATTTTCCATTTTTTCCATTCATTTCTTATACTTTCATTTCTTTTGATTTTCTTCCCTTTTCCTAAGACAATGACCTTGAGGCCAACTCAGACAGCGTCGTACGACGCAGCCTGATGCAATTTATTGTCTGGGACAGTCTTAAGCCATCGTGAGAAATATTAAACATGTTTAATATTCTACGACCCGACGGTCCCCGACGCAAAAAATCGCGTCTGTAACTCACACAGACCCAACGTGACAACAAATTGCGTCGGGCTGCATCGTACGACGCTGTCTGAGTTTGCATTTATACACATACAATAAACATGACAGAAATCCATTAGCTAATATATCATTGACTTGCATAAACAACAATCTCTTTAGCACAACTGACAGGAGGACAATTAGTTGATTGATGATCTTAACAAATGCAATAATAAATACTGCCAATGATGATAATTAATAATGACTACTAATGAGAATGATGATGACAATAATGATTAATGATGATGATGAAGATGATAATAACTGATGACTAATTACAAACCTGAAGTTCACATATTAGCAAAAGGAGAAGTACTTCTTCATTTCTGTTTTTTGGAACAAATATACTGCAAAAAAATATAAATCATATAATGTAATACTTAGGCAATACTACCTACACAATACTATATACAGGTAAGGAGACTTTTCACCTTGTAGCGAACCTATTTTATTAAAGATCCTCAAAAGAGGGTGGAAAAATGAAAATAACATTTGTTTTCTTACTGCCAAAAGCATCTAGGCGGAGGATAAAATATACTGTACATGTTATTGATGATTGTAAACAGTATAAGATTGATTAATGCTTTAAAATGTAAATAGTTAAGGAAGAAATAGACATAACTTATTTTGGGGATTTCAGAGGAGTAAAGGGCACAATAAATATAAATTTAAAAAAAAAAATTTATTCTGAAATTTCCAATTTTTGTGGTGGAGGGTGCGCTAACTGTCCAAAAATTGGCAGTCGGAGTGTTCGCTAAACAAGGTATTAAAAAAGTATATATTATACATAAAAACAAATAATTAAAAATGCTATTTTCAGTCAATGAGTAAGTTATTTTAAAACAGCAAGTTCTTAGAGGATTGTTCATTATCACAAACCATGTTAAAGTAAGGGGAAGGGATAACTATTGGCAAACTAGGTAGAAGCATTAAGATGGTTGTACACTAAGTGAATTTATTTGTGCGAATCAAAAGCATTGGTTTGCTACCTGCCTCTGACTAGTTGCGCATTTTTTAACTTCGCAAAAAGTAGAAACGGTTTGAAGTACTGACTTCGCTGAAGTGAAAAACTCCGATAGAAATGTGACGTGTATGTGCATGAACCAACGCTTACGATGCCCTCATGACCATATTTAGGCATGTCACATGTTATTATAAAATAAAATCTGTTAGTCAGGATAGGGTTTAAGCCCTGTCCAGACTATCAAATTTAATTTGACAAAAAAATGTGACGTGACTAAATATAGTCATGATGACATCACATCATGACCATATATAGGCACATCATGACAAAATATGGGCATACAACAGATGTCTGTCAAAGGAAATTAGATAGTGTTAGACAGAGCTGAAGAATATTTTGAGTTTATGAAGCATCATTTTCATGATGTAGTGGGTCAGTCACTGTCAGTAGAGAATGAAATTTCAAGGCAAGCAGGGGATACTATGAATGATGATGCATTTCCCATACCCCTACTGGTTTTTTCATTTCTCACCTTGCTGTATTAGACTTTAAAAGCCAGGCCACCTCCCCCCCCCCCCAGTTTTTAAATATTCAGAAATATGTATCCCATTAACTGTTCCTAATTTTTTCATCAAACACCCTTTTTGTGTCTTAAACTCTGTCTACACTATCAAATTTTGTGTGACAAAAAAGTGTGATATGCCCATATATGGGCATGATGACATCACACCATGACCATATATAGGCATAGCATTACTATATATGGGCTTGTCACATTTTTTTTGTCAAAGTAAATTTGATAGTAGAAAAAACAGTTGTATAATCAAAATATCAAACAAATTGTTTCTGCTGGAGCCTGGCTTTAAAGAATGGTTGCCATATTTAGAATTGAGTGTCTGCCTTCTAAAAAAAATGAGATTTATCCCTTTTCATAAATTCATCCTGGGTATTCTATTTATATTATAGTATATAATTAAGTTTCTTTTACATTGATCAGCAAGAAAATCTGGTTATTATATGAAAATGATGCTTCATAACTCTATCATTACTAAAGGGAGAGGAGGTATTTTTATCTAGGTGTTTTGTATGATTTGAGTGCTGGACTCTAGAATTAGAAGCCCCTGCATTATTACTACCAATCTACGGTTCTACTTCATAATAATATAGCATTCAAACAATCAATTTACAGAATGCATTAAGTTAACTACAGAGGGCAGTCTTTATTATTCTCTATAAATCCATGAATAGAATTTCAAATATATTAAAAAGTCTGTTAGAGTGAATCATATCACCTTTGCCAAATATAAACAAATTATGAAAAAGTAAAATTATTTTGTTAAGATGAAAATTAAAAAGATCATGCATAAATAGATAATACCAAACCAAACAATCAACAGACAGTTTAAAGACTGGTAAAAAATGAGACAACCTAAAGAAAACCCAAATTTCAAACACTGAGTTTTATGTGAAAATGTAAACTAATTAAATTCAAACCTCAAGAAAACAAAACAAAGATCACACAAAGACTTTTATCTAATGAAATAGATTTCAATGCAAAAATTAAAAACTATTATACTATTCATTCATGTGCATTCACAGGGTTCTAAAGTTGTATGGAAAAAAAAAAAACACACAATGCAGTTGTTAAACAGCTCAGTTCACAGAAACTCCGGGTAACTTACAGTTCCATAGGGCAATGACTTGGCCGACTAAATATAAAGCAAAGCAATCAATAAACATACATAATCAGCAAGGCTAAACGATTACATATTACAGTATTGAATAAGACAAGCTGATATTGTAATTCATTAGAGGCCAATGTTCATCCTCCTATAACTATACAAAAACATCCTGAGTTCCTTATTTTCCATTAGCTGTGAGATGGCTTATTTCATAAATAAATTACATCTATGCACTTGTTTGGCAAAAGAGTGTATGTGTGATTAAATTTGTCAGCAAATAAAACGTTCATACAGTATTTGAATTTGTTTTACCTATTACAATAACAATTGTTTTATGCTTTTATTTATTTGCTTTTTCACAATAATTATGTACACAAGCATAACAACACTTTTCAAAACAATGGCGCCCTCTATCATAATCACTGGATAGCAAGTAATAACAAGACACATACCTGTCAGTGCTGTACATTTTTGGTTTTAGGGATTGTCTCGACAACGAATGGCGCATCCCAGGCTGAACCGTTAGACCGACGGAACGACTTAATGTGCCGCCCTCGTTGTCAACCACAGGCGCTGTGTAGGTGCTATTGCAGATGCCACGTAAGAGTACCTCCACTAGTTCTCGTGCCAACGTAACACGGATGTCCTGAGAACTACGCGCTTCAACGGCTTTCAGGATCTGTCTGAAGCGATTGATTCCGCGATTCTTATCACTATTAGAACCAATTTAAAGAATAAATAATGATTATATGTTATATATATTATTATGAAGTAGGGCTAATATATCAAGTCAAGGTATTATTGAGTATAATATCGAGTCAAGGAGGAGGTCAAAATTTTGTACCTCAGCCATGTGTTTCGGTTGAGGTGGTCCAGATCCTATCTGAAAAATCGACTTTTTGGGCTCCCTCTATATTGAATTCTTGAATCCACCACTGTTCAACTAAATAACAATTCACCATTGAATCATATACTTTCCACAAGTCCCTTATTTTTTTTTCATTCTGGACAGCGCCACCAACGAGAATGTTAATTAAAAGACAGAAAAAAAAAGAAGAAGAAGAATCAAGTATGGGATGCCAATTAAATGGGTATGGCGTGCACTAAGTGCAATAAAGAGTGAGTAACCAAAAATTATGGCCGGGAACCCAGGCTACATTGAATCATAGCAATACTATATACTTCATTTATGTTACATCGACATTAACAGTGTAATATACAGTGTTCTTTACATATTTCAACACTGACAATATATATTTGTATACATTACATGATTTCCTATATGAATTACATAATTTACTAATATTACTGTCATCTTTACTTCACATAAAAATAAATTGATACAAGTACAATAAATTACCCTTTTGAAAGGTGTAGTATGGGTGCTCTTTGCACGACTGTTTCCAAGACAGGCCCCATACCAGTCAGATTGCCGCCAACACAGCCAACTTTTTCAAGTTCCTGTAAGTAGTGTAAGGCCAGATCTCCTCCTTTTTCATAATTGTATATAATATCTTCTTCATCTGCTGTGTTGCTTGTATCTTTCCTCTCACTGATTGTTCTCTCCAAACAGATCCCTGTGGATTAGTTAATTCAGGAATTAAATATAAAGATACTGTTTGACATATAATATTATTAACACTCCGACCGCCAGGGTTTGAAAAGATAGTATCAGCCACAGCCAGACTTTTTAGCAAATTTTAACACTTTGTCGAAGCTCGTTGAGAGTGCGTATGTGATCAGATTGACATGTACAGTAATGAATAATACAAGAACTACAAATATTTTAGCTTTACAGTGGTACCAAACACTTTATTCTACTCACAATCTGTGACCCGTAACAATAAAATAAAAATGACTCACTTTTGGAGATAAATGCACTTTCACAACGAAACTGAGATAATTGCGATTTTGTGAAAGTAAATCAATACCAGTCTACGCTAATGTAAACAAACAAATAGTGAAATACTTACGGTCCAGACTGAATATAGTGTTTAAATTGTTAGTACATGTTGGTAATTACCCCATCTATCGGATTCTGTAAAAAAACCTGGAACACGGAGACCTCCGTGTTTGGCAGTCAAGCGTTGCGTTACCAAACACGGAGATCTCTGTGATTTGCTGGCAGGGTGTTAAAAGGATAAAATAGTTACTGTATTACACTTCAATTAAAACAGATCAAAACAAGTTCTTACCCTTTAAACCAAAGGCCTCTGCCATCATTCGAAGCATCCTATTGGACGTGTCTTGTACGTCTAAAGTGTCCAAGCCTAATGTGTCATACATGTTCAGGGCCTCTTTATACTCTCCACATGCAAAGTGGTATTTTGCCATCAGTAATTGGGCCTCCTTGTACAAATAATGCTAGGCAGAAAAAAAAACATAAAATCTGCAATATATACACAATTCAAATCAAAGCATAATTATATTAATGTAATTTTAATTTATTATATGTTTATTTCTCTATTAGTAAGTATAGTAAAATTTTTTTGTTTTTCTTTGCTGTGTAATAACATTCCTAAGCCCAATCTTGAAATCTTTCTTTTTCATTCAGCTTTAATACTTCTTTCATCTACAACTCTTTTCCACCAATTGTCTGTTGTGCTCGCTTTTCCTCTTCTTTCAAACTTTCATCTAATCTTGTGTAATTTTCCCTGTGGCCATTTATTTTTGTTGAAATATTTATTTTAATATCTTGATTTTGCTTTGTTTTTTTTTTTTTGTCAAGTAAATAATTTGTCCATTAAAAATATGTTTTTTTCTATACATTATTACTTTTGTTATTTTTTCTGTGATTTCTCAAAATATTTTGTTATTATATACACGATAAATCGTTATCGAATCATCCTAGTGTAAAAATTTCGCATATTTGATTTATTTTCTATATGAACAATTGCTTTTAGATATTTATCGTTATTGTTGCAAGTACAAATAGGCCTCAACAACCGATTTTTCCCCATCTTAAAATATAAAAAAATGTATAACCTTTCCAGAGTCTTCCATCAAACACCTCTGTTAGTGTCTCAGAAGAATCAGTTGTATAACATATCAAAAATTTGTTTTCCTCTGGAGCCTGGTTTTGATGCAATGGATCTATATACAGTTAAACTTGCCTTAGTCGACTGTGCTGAAGTCAAATAATTTCTAAGTCGATCTTATTTTACATGCCAAATTGTTGTGTTTTCCATTAAGAATCTGTAAGTCAAATTTTATCCAAGTCGAACAATATTTCATATTTCATATTTTATTTTGGATTCGACTTAGGCAAGTTTAACTGTAGAAGAAATCAACATTTTGTTGAAGCATACCTTGTTGTTTCCTTTAAGTGCATTTTGCAAGTGTTGCTTAGCAGATCGAAGCTCCCTCTTAGCCTTGGCAACATGATCCTGTGTCTTTGGAGGATATTTTATGACAAAGGTTTCCAACTCTGCTTCGCCCAATGCAACATTCAATAACACTTCTGTAAAGGAATTTTAGATTCAATATATATCATTACTGTAGACCTTAAATAGAAATTTATATAGCACATTTTATCAAACACAAGAATTAATTTTTAAAAGTGAGATGTACAGTATAATCATTAACAATAACAAACACCTTATTGTCATCGATTGACATTATTAATATTATTATTATTAAAACCACAAAATCCTAAAGAAAGTATATGTATGATTTGAATCTATACAGTATATTACCTAGGCCTACAGTAGAGACCTATTTACCAAGGCTTATGGTCAGCGGTGGTGCCAGAAATTTGCGACAAGGGGTCCGACGTGTCCAACAGAGGGGTCTGAACCAAGGCGACGACGAAACCTTGGTCGATGGCCCGGAATAAAAAAAAATCCCTGTTAGGGTTCACGGAAGAGTTTTTATGGCTTAATTTGGTCCTAAAATGTGCTTTGTGCTCAAAATAGCATTACTTGGATAGGCAAATTATTATTTAAAAAAATGTTGGATCCAATGACTTAGTCGTTCATCACACGACCGGGGGGTCCAGGTCTGTTCGATGGGTGGGAAAATGCCAACCCTACCCCACACCCCCGCTGGTGCCACCACTGTTTATGATGTGATGACCGGGGGCGAATTGCTTTATTTAGATGGTCTTAACGGTTAGCCGGCTATAATCCTGACGTCCCTAGTGGTCTATGATTATAGACCACATTGCTATACCACAGTCTAACCAGTTAGCCATCTTAAAAAGCCTACTCAGAGGAGGCTTAAAACAGTTTAAAATCATTTTCATTGTGGCGTTCTGCTGATTAATTCGCCCTCAATCTTACGTTACCAGGGAGTCATTGTTTGTGTTTCAATACTGAAAGCGGTTATTTAGGGAAGACTGTTTTATAGCAATGGTCTTAGAGGAATGACTTTAGTACAGTAAGACGGCCTAGCTAGGCCAAAACTAAGTGATAAAGCCAGCTTTATTCGATGAGTTAAGTCTAGGCATACCTACCAGTTCAGACCGTTTTATAGCAATCTTATTATGGTGTGATGACCGGGTCTGGATACAGACAGACAGGCCTATCTATAGGCCTAAGCCTCTAGCTAGCTACCTAGGGCCTAGGCCTCTAGGCTAGCCTAGACCTCCTAGGCTTAGTTAGGCTCTTCTTCCTAGACCTAGCCTACCTAGCTAGCTATCCTAGGCCTAGCCTACACAGTTTGACAATGAATACTGACAAACCTAAATTAGGAGATTTAGTCTTTGCTTGCTTTGATATATCTAAAATCTTTTCCCAGTTACATTCTGCTCTACTCTTCTCAATTTCACTCTCAAGCCGAGCTGCTTTCTTTGAAGTAGCCATATCACATCGACAAAGCAATCACCTTCAAACCGGGCACCGCCTACAAAATCCGACGTAAACAACCCACCGCGCAGATTATCAAAGCCTCGTCGGCTGCTAATAATCTAAAATCTAAAAATACAATTAAAAGTAACCTCCGACCTAAAAATAATGAAATAAATTTATATTAAACGTCATAAATTGTAGTATAGTTATAATACTTCAACAAAATAAATATATTTCTTGTATTAATAGCATATGTAATATTGTTCAAAAATAATATTTGTAGGCCTAAAGCATATTTTAAATCTTGTTAATTTTAAATCTAGTTCAGGCTCGTCCTTTTTAGCACACACCGCGGCGACTGACGGGTGAGTTAGAAATACTGGTAAGGTTTGTCGATGAAATGTTATGATTGTTCACTTTATAACGTTATGAGACTCATACCGATTCAATCTTTAACATTATTTTGTTAATTACAGGTGTCATCAGAACCACAAAATGCAGATCTTTGTGAAGACATTGACGGGTAAAACCATCACTCTTGAGGTAGGTGAACTGCCCCAAGCAGCATGTCGTGCGCCCTCTCACTGCTTCTCTTTTTCAATTATAAATGTGCTAAACATTAGACAAGACTGTACTACTTCTTTCGTTTGTTTTTGTTTAAACAAGAGTGTGAAATATTTGTATATAAAATAGAAGAGGCATAATATAGTGTGTATTTGTGTGTGTACACCATTTGACTGACATTTAATTAAATTACAGAATACAGAAAGGTCAACTTGTTTTTTTTTTCTGAACTTGTTTTCGGTTCTTGCTGATTTTTATAAACATTAACAAAATTATATACAGTAGAACCTCGATTTTACGTACGGTACGGGACCAGAGGGCGTACGTAAATCGGGGGATTCGTAAAATAGAGGTTGGGTTAAATTTGTGGTAACCTTTGACCTAATACGTACATAACGCTCAATAAACGTATGGCCGTTTGTTTTGAATATTTTCGGGGTTTTTGATGACGTCATCGTCCATACGAGGCGTACGTAAAACAGAGGGTTCGTATAACTGGGGTACGTAAAAACGAGGTTCTACTGTATATGATTCGAGATTTTGGGAAATAAAAAAAAATTTTGTTTAATGGAAACTGAAAATTTTATTGTTAGTGATAAAAAAATTTCTTAGTTGGATTTCTTTTCTGTATATTGGGAATTTATATACTGTATTATTTGCATTATACTTTTCCTTTAATTATACATGTTAAAGTTTCATTTTTTATTAAGTAATTGATTTAGTTACCTTCTTCAATCATTCAAATAAATGAACACTAAAGCATTTTCTTTCTTCTATGTGTGACAACCTCAGAAGGTATTTGCAGGAAACTGTTCAGATACAGATAAATACAGGTTAAATTAAAGATCCCTCCAATTGAAGACTACTACCTTCTTCAAAAATTCAAATAAATGAACACTAAAGAATTTTCTTGTCATTTCTTATTAAATATTTCATAAAAAAATATTGTTCATATGTTGCTATGATGTTTACTTAGGACACCTTTGAAAAGAATGAAACTGTTTATAAATTGACTGAGCAACAATGCCATGCACATCCACTTGCAACGATTTCATTTATGGGGGTGACAACCAACAAATCCACATTAATTGTGTATTATTTGTCTTTTTCAGGTGGAACCCAGTGATACAATTGAAAATGTGAAAGCCAAAATTCAAGACAAAGAAGGTAATATATTTACTTCTATTTCTTTGATTTATTTTTTGTTTAAAACAGTTTAAAACTTTTATTGTTGCAATGATGCTTTCTTAGGACACCTTTGAAAAAGAATGAAAATACCATTTTATGTTTCTGAGCGACAAATACATATGATATTTAAATTCTATATATTTATTTCTACTCTTGTTTATTACGATAATAATGTTCTATTTTTACTCATTCCAGGCATTCCACCAGATCAACAGAGGTTGATCTTTGCAGGAAAACAGCTTGAAGATGGCCGCACACTTTCAGACTACAACATCCAGAAGGAATCTACTCTCCATTTGGTGTTGCGTCTACGTGGTGGCGCCAAGAAACGCAAGAAGAAGACCTACACCACACCAAAGAAAAACAAACACAAGAAGAAGAAGGTTAAGCTTGCAGTGCTCAAATTCTACAAAGTAAGGCTTATGTCAATCCTGTTTTGATTCAGTTTGGATTTTCCCACCTAATACATAACCGAAGTTGAGATTCATAAATATTTAAATAATACTATATGTCTCAGTATTTTCTCTTTAATCCATGTACACATGCTTGTTTTAATTGTTAGATGTTGCAATGATGTTTTCTTAGGACACCTTTGAAAAAGAAATGAAACTAAACAAGATTTCTGAGCAACAAAAATAAAATAAAAAATAACCTGCAGTTAAAGACCACTTTTTTTGGCCCAGATGAATAGTTGCCTTTTATCTTCATGATAAATATTTTTCTAATCAAGACCAACTCTACAAAAGTCCATAGAAATACCAGTCCCAAAAGTGGTCTTAAAATAATTTATAATTTCAAAAATAAGGTAATTTTTGTTTCTAAAGTGATTCTGTTAATTTTGCTGCAACATTGCAATAAATTCTTAACTGCTGTAACTATTCTTTCATAGGTTGATGAAAATGGCAAGATTACTCGTCTTCGTCGTGAATGCCCGAGTGAGGAGTGTGGTGCCGGCGTTTTCATGGCCTCCCACTTTGACAGACAATACTGTGGAAAATGCTGTCTGACATACGTGTACAATAAACCACAAGAAGAATAGTTTGTTTTAGGCTTTCTGGAGATATGTAAATTCAATTGATTTATCGATTAAAAAAAAAATACAACAGAAATATGATTTATTTCTTTTGTTATTTCTTTGTCATTTGTACTTTTCCATAATATACACAGCTAATATGCGACTGTTAAAACGTACTCTATATCAAAATGAGGAACAAGTTATATACTGTAGATGACGCTAAATTAATTTAGTTACAATCAAGAATTCAGAACAGCAATGGGAAAAATAGACCACCCATCCCATACAAATGCACTCCCTGTGTGTAACATGGAAAATTGAGTTGTTGCAGATAGAATGCTAAAAAATAATACACAGCAAGTCATGCTATCAATCGATTGAAAGGTTGGCTGCCATTCCCTGTACAGTAATTCATCATGTTCAATGTCTTGTATATTCTGATTTCCTCAATTATTTATACTGTACTTTCATTAGCTTTTTCAGTTTTCAATTAATTGTGATAAAATTATCTTTTATGTACAGTGTACGTTTTTAAAACTTACAAAAAGAGTAGGCCTAAACATTTCAAATTAAAGACCTTATAGATCGAACTATGATACTGTAATTTCATTCATGACCATTTTCAATGGAAAGTGTTTATGTACTGTATTCCCCTTTGAATATTTATGAGTAGCTCTTTAAAGATGAGTCTTTCCCCCCCCCCAACCCATAATAAAGCTCATGGGAGGGGGGGGGGGCGCTAGAGCTTATTCCCAGTATCTGTAGCACAAACTGGTGAGATACTTCCCCTGAATAAGATGCTAATTGTTTGCAGATCACTCCTAGCAATTTGCCCATTGATGCAGCGAGAGAAAAGTGGGCATGATTGAGTAATCGCACAAAATATTCCGAAAGTGGTTTAGGGGGTGAATGCCCCAAAAATATTGACAATTTAGGGGTTTCAAAGCTTATTTAATCGATTTTAGAGTCTATTATAATATGTAGAAAATTTATTTATTTCTGTCCTTTGGTATAGCAGAAAGAAATGAGACCAGTCTTGAATCCTAATTTTATAATACAGTAAGCATAGGCCCTAATCTAATATATTTTTAGAAACCGCATACAGTAATCTGAAATACAGAAATCAAATTTTTTTAAATGGCAATATTTCATCTCAATTTGTTTCACTGTAAACAAGACACAAACTAGTGGAATTACATTTTTGGTCTACCGCATGTGTTATCCTGCTGAATGCTCAGTTTGTTCTAAAATCAAACCACAACATCCAGATAAGCCTGGTGTCTTAACCAGCAGATCACCAATCTTGCACTTAGTGACCAGTAATGAATCCGATGCCCAAGTAGCAGTGGGTACTGCAATGATTTTTAACCAACTTTTATGTAATATTTTTTATTTAAGGGACCCCAACGAAAATAAACTGATTTGGTTTTTTGGGGTTATCCTGAGCTGAAAATGTTTTAGTAAATTATCTTTTTATTGTTCATTGTTTTGTTATATGTAATGTGTTGAATTATGCTCAAATATTGAATTGAATTGAACTAGATTGATTAAAGGTTACGTAGTTAGTATTAATTTGTGATTTGAGCGAATCATGCGTCAAAAAGAACAAGTAAATCATATTGGCCGAAGGTTGTCTAGGGCTCCAGGGGAAATCCCCCTGGAAGCTACAAATTTTGGAGAATTAATATTAGTTCCCCCCCAGGAAGCTACGAATTTTGGAGAATTAATATTGGTTTTTTAATAGGTGTCAAACGTTCAGTGGCAGAGATTCCATATTATTGTGGGGGGAAATATTAAACCGGTGATAGCCACTGTGTGTGCGCTGGATAGTTACCTGGTTCAATTCCCATCCCTGTTCTCCTTTTGTTTCAGCTAGAGGGCGGAAATTCAATTTAGAATAGTGCACCATCTTTCAAATGAGACATTTAAGATGTTGGTCCTGTGTGCATTATGGCCTACACGTTAAGGAAGACTAGGGAATTGTATACCGGTGTATTGTACAATCACTACCAGAAGGACCCCACTGGAAATAAGTCTTCAGATTTTCAAGGGTTATCCTTGGTGTTAACACCGAATAAATCCATCCATTCATCAACAGGCCTAAATCAATACATTTTTTTACTAGAGTAGAGTAGAAACCAAGCTCAATGGAAAATGACATCCCTTTCTGTTTCATTATCTTTTATCTATTGAGAACTTCAGACCGTACAACATTGAATCCATCAGCTGAGGCAAAAAAAAAAGGCAATTCAATTTATTATATTTTTATAGTGATGAAAATAGCTCAATGAATAAGATATGGTTGGCTTAAATGCTGTCTCTTATACACATCTACTAGATGTCCCCCCCCCCCCCCACCTACACTGGTGCCAATTATACCTTGGTCTTCGGGCGAACTTACAGCCATTGTCATTATTACCTCTACTGCAGTAGAGGTAATCTAAGGCTTACATTAATTTGCATAGAAAGTTAAATCTTGCGGTATTCTTTATGGAGAGTACAAATCATTATTAGAGAATTTCGATTGAGAACGTAGAATGAGAACAATATATTCATCTGTCACTGGCATTGCAAGTGTTCTAATTTCTAAATCAATTTTTTGAGTAAGCAAAGATGCAAAGACTGATGCACCAAAGGATAATACAACAGTTCGCTTTCTGGCCTGAACACGCAGATTCAGCCAACGACCATTTCAAATTTCTGGAGAGAATGTAACACACAATTCAATTATGACGTCATTACATTCTACATCGTCGCAAATCAAACGCTCTCTATTAGCTGCTCCCTGGGAGTATGTTATGTATTCTCGTAAAAACATGAATGATGCCGAAGTTGTCTTTCGCTCTTTTTGTACTTATATTTTCCTATTTTGTGTTTCATAGGTTCAAGTGTTATTCTTTTGTATGGACATGAAATTCCGAAATTAAACATGAATGAAAAAGGAACCTCTCGTTCCATATTCAAATGACAATATCAAATGACAATAATGAAGTCAATCTTTTTCATTAGTGTCTACAGTATACCCCAAAGTTGTTAGAAATCTTTGGCAGCCTATCAGAATCCTAGATCCCAATCAATTGTTTGTGGTATATGGGATGTTTCATAGCAGATTATTGTATCTCCATTTTTAAATTCTAAATTCTCCTTGAAAGACAATCCACATTCCATATCCTTCTTCACAGATTTTACATCATCCTTATGATGTTTAAGAGATGTTAATTGTCCTGAAAAAAAAAAATATAAGAATTAATAACTTACAAAAAAAAAACTGCACTGGCAATGCCCTGATTTGAAGCCTGCCATTTGTTCCCGCCAGTAAGTGGCGACTTAATTATTCGCTGTTGGATAAGATAATAAATAAAACAAAATATTGATATTTACTTGCATCCTTTGATGAAACACATGTTGTTCCACAAATGTATGGGTCTGTACATTTTGTGGGACCTTAGCAAAAATGGGCGGGGCTTTGTGGAAACTTCCATTCTATACATTTTAATCACAGGTTCTTACCTTCATGAATTGTTTCTTGATTGCGAACTAATTTAAATTCCCCTGAAATATTTAGACTACCCTTATTGACTCTGCAACCTGCCACTTCGACCTTGCGTTTGCCTACAGACACCGTAAAAGGCTGCATCACGGTTGCTTCACCTATGAACAGGTGAAAACAAAAATAAACATTAGATCATTTATAAATAACATTATTAACAAAACAACCGTTGCATTCAGAATTATCTAAGTGGTGTGCCGCAAGCATTTAATATATTAATACTTCGCCTTGCAAACCTTCAAACAACATTATCAAAAAAACAAAAACAAAATTCATATGTAAATTTTTCGATTAAAAAAGCCTTTCAAATCCCTAATTGTTGCAGCTTCTGGGAGGGGGTTCTGGTTCTAGTCGGCAATGATTCCCCCATTTACACTTGACGACACTGTCAGAGACATTGACTCCCTTGTCAAGAGTTTTAAAAAATGTCAGGTTTTAATTTATATAAAAATACATTAGCTTTTTTGTCCACAACTGAAAATTATTACAACCTACCTAAAACACTTATTTCTTCAACTGGAGGCAGTCTAGAGTTCAATTCCTCTTTTAGATCGTCAATTAATTTATAAATAATAGAATGTTTAAGGATCTGCACTCCAAGTTTATCTGCTAACGTCTGTGTAACACCACTAACAGCTACGTTGAAGCCAACAACAATACCATCAAAAGTTTTTGCGATTTCAACATCTTTTTCAGATACAATGCCTACACCACAGTGTAGTATATCCAGTTTACATTGGTCAGAATCGTAAGTTGATAAGGCATCCAATATGGCCTCCACTGATCCATCAACATCACCTACATGAAGAAAGAATAACTTTATTAACAAACTTTGTTTGTTTAAAATATACCGTTGTTCAAATTAATGTTACTGCCATCCAAAGAAATGAAGAACTTTTGATTGCCAACATATTTACAGTATTATGTAGTAAGTAAGCAAAAAATGATTCAAATTTTGGTCGTATTGGAAGTTGAGACCATTCCAGGGTATCCTAAAAGGGGCGCTGAAAATGAAATAATGTGAGGCTTTTTTCAGCGAAGTCTCTACTGAGGCTTAGGGAGTGGATTTGTTTTTAGTTGTGAGTATTCAAGCCCGCAACTATAAAACAAAAACTGCTTACATTACAAAGCTGTCTTTGAAAAATAAAACCAGACTAATCTAATTATTTCCTGAACCATAAAATGTGTCTGCTTTTTAGATAAATATTCAAGTACCTTTCAGCACAATGTTTAGCTCAGGATGTTCACTCTTTACGTTCTCTTTTTCACGGGAGAATCTCTCGGCCGAATGTCTCATGCGAATTTCTCTCCATGATAATAAACTGTTTACTTTCCTCTTCTCCGTGTGGGCTTTTCGTTGCTCTTCTGCTTTCTTCTGAACAATGATGGCATCCTGTTTTGAACGTTCATCTTGTTCGGCTTCTTTCCTCCAGTCAATAACCTCCTTTGCTCTTTTCTATAGAAGGTAAATTGAGATTAATAATGATTTGACATATTCTGTGATTGGTTTTTAATTTCTCTGTAAATTAATATAAATTGCATCTGCCTTTCCTAATGTTATGTGTATTTGAATGGAATGAATAAAAGAAACTATATCATCAACTGATGTTGTCACTTTTTAAAGATATACATTTTTTATATTTTAACCGTATTTTAAGAGGTTTACACTTTCAGATTAATCTTGAGGTCAGTAGATATTACTGGAGTAAAGTGATTCTTTATAATGTAAGTCTCAATTTGAGGCTTAGGGAGTAGAGATGTTTTTATAGTCATGAGATAAACAGTCCTAGTATCACAGGATTTGAACCAGGGCCCAGGGAATGAAAAGCAAGCATTTTAACCACTACAGAAAATGTACATAAAAAATGGTTTTCCTGTCATAAATGAGTAAGTCAGAGAGATGGCCGAAGGTTGAAGTGACAAAAAAAGGCAGCCTGTCCACAGCCACACACACATATTAAACTGCAGAATCTTCAGCATGTTCAAGGCAGCAGCATACAGGAAGAAGAGAAGCTACATCCCATTACACAATTGAAAGAAAGAAAACTCAACGAACACCTAAGTATGCTGTTTAGTGCTGAACAGGTGTTTGATGTAGAAGAGGAGAATCACATAAGTAAGTCATTGCCATTGCTCCACATAAACCAAAGATCTCAAAATGTCAATGTGCTTATGCACCACAGCAACTTTTTTTTTGGCCTTACTTCAGATTCTACTTCTAGAATGAGCTCCCCAGCTCCTGGAATTTCCTTCCAACCTGTAACTTCTACCGGTGTGCTAGGGGGTGCTTCATTGATCTGCTGGCCGTGTTCGTTGTACATATTGCGAACCTTACACATGGACTTGCCTGCAACAAGTATGGAACCTTTCTTCAGGGTTCCTCTCTCAATAATAACAGTTGCTACAGCACTGAAAAAAAAGAGAAGCAACAAATCAACATTTTGTAAAGTTAATCATTGTATTATCTTAAATACAAATCATGTGACAACAATATATGAATATAATACAGTTCCCCCTCGAATTAAAGACCCTTCCAATTAAAGACCACTTTTCTGTGGCCCCAACAAATGTCTATTTATCTTTATTAATCTAATTAGAGATCAAAACTGCTACAGACCATAGAAACCCCGGTGTCAAAAGTGGTCTTTGGAAGGAGAACTGGGGGTGCCCCTGCCCAACTGGATCCGCCCCTGTTAAATATATCATATAGTATGAGATAAGCATCATAGCAGATCAGGTGATAAAACTGAAAACATACAGAATTTGAATAATAAAATATAAAAATATATAATACAGTACATTAATATAGGGATCATGTGTTAAAACAAATATTATACTGTAAATAAATAAATCATATTAAAATATGAATGCTTGATGATCAGGTGATAGAAAATAAAAATATTATACATAACATTATACAGGGCAGTGATAAAGCCTGATAACCAGATACAACTAAAATTTTGTGAAATCAAATTAGATTATGGTAATTCCATCTGATTTGGAGTGAAGTCATCTGGGGTTGCTTACCCTTTTCCTCTATCCACCTTGGATTCTATAACGTTTGCTTCAACTATGCCTGTTGTATCTGCCTTCAACTCCATCACTTCAGCCTGAGCTATAATTGATTCTCCTAGTACATCAATATTTATGCCCTAGAAAATTTAGAAGAAAAAAAAGATGATTATCAAAGATATATTCTAGTACAGTTCTTTATAGTATTAGTCTAATTTTCTAGTAAGACACAGGCTTGGCACATTTGATATTATGTATATGGTTCAATAGTTCATGAAAAATCAGTATTTAATGTTATCTGAGTTACCTAGGCCTACCCAGGCCTTTTTGTAAGGCCTAAAATCTGGACACTCTGCGAGGCCAACATATATATTATTTTAAATGCAACCAACTATTTTTTTCCCATCACAAACTCGAACATAATTTATATTGAAGTGTGGTGTGCTTACACACCAATGCTTATTTTCATTTTATTCATCATCATAAACTTTGAATTTCTAACCTTGAGGGCTGATATTTCTACAGCTTGAACTTCTCCGCCAAAGTCCTCCAATTGAATTCCATGCCCAAGAAGTTCCCGTTTGGTCTGTTCCTTTTAAAATAATACATAAAAAACTGAAAACAATGACTGTTATGACTTAATAATTTTTATATAATTTTAATGTTGTTTATATTTTTATATAATTTTTTATAGGTAGTGCAATAGGGGTTGAGCCACACTTGGTAAGGCGACAGTGTGCAAAAGGTACAAGAATAAAAATTAGCAATGATAAAACAACAAGAACAGCAAAACAAAACAAAAATTAATAGTTAGCAACACCTGTTCAGATTTTGTATTTCTGCCGAAATGAATAAAATAAAAAATAAAAATAGAAAGTGACTAAATTTACATTGAACATATGAATGGAAGAAAGGTTCATTTATTATGACTCCTTTAACAATATTCCATGCATAATATAAAAAAAAATCATACAAGGGATGTAGAATATATACTGATCTTGATTTGTCCATATATGCACTAAAATTTATGGTGTCATTTTTAAATAAAATGTTCATAAAACATTTCTATATTTTTGCTCTTCCTTTAAAAATTGCATTGAGGCAATAAATACTTACTGGATTTGAGGCAGGCTTGTCACATTTGTTTATTGCCACAATCATAGGAACTAATCAGAAAAAAAAAAGAATAGCACTATGTAGAATCTATGCAATGAAAAAAAATAATGAACCAAAAAAAAAACAACAATGAAACAATGACAAGAGTATAAAAATGAGGAACAAATATGCAACTAAAACAGAAAATACCAACAATAGTAGCAAAATTAACCTAATCACAATCATAAACAGTGTAGTCTTATCCAATTTATTTGAACTAGGCATAAAAAAAAAACCACCATATAATAAATAGTCTCAGGCTATGTTCTCACACGGCTGCTAACGGTTAGCAGGATCCGGATCCTGCTAACCATTAGCTGCCGTGCGTCCATACAAGAAAATCCCGATCCGGATACCAAAAATATGATGATCGAATCACTGGCCAATAAGAAACTGGAAATTGTAAATGTGTACGTGTGATTGGTTGATGATAAAAACGGGCTCAATTTGCTAACCGTTAGTGGCATCCGGAAACCGCTAACGGTTAGCAACCGATCGGGCGTTCTCACGCAGGTGCTAACAGTTAGCGCTAATGGTTAGCTCCCGATCCGGATACTAGGGCTCTCGTGAGAACCAGGCTTCTACTGGCTTATATACTACTGGTCAGATATCCAAATGTATGGCAAACAGCCAAACACTCTACTGATATTAAAGTAGATCTATTAGTCTTATATCTGTCTATTCTTGATTGTTGCATTTGGTCTTTCCGTTTTTTTAATCTGGTTTTTATATTGTTGAATGTTTGCAATATGATTGGACCATATCTCTTTAATGATTTATACTGTATGTTATCTGTAATGTCTGTATATTTTAATCTTTGAGGATTTGCAATTCAGTTTTTACTGCCATAAACTGTTTTATGTACATATTTATATCGTTGGATAAAAAGTACCGAAATATATATTTTAATAAGTATTTTCTATTTTTATAGAGGCATTATTTCATTCATGTTATTTAATTTAAGTACATTTAAATTAAATTAAAACAATCTACCAACTTATTACCCTAGGTGTTATACTGTAGTTTTCAGTTTCATTGTTGTTTTAGTGTCTATATTCTAATTCAAGAAAAAAAACATGTCTGGCAATATTACCTCCTGCCTCCTCAGCGAAGCGTATAGACTCTCTAGTTTGTTCCATTACTCCATCATCAGCAGCTACAACGAGAACAACGATGTCCGTTACATGTGCTCCTCGAGACCGCATCGCTGAAAATGCAGCATGACCCGGTGTATCCAGAAAAGTAATTTTCTGCCCATCTTTTAAGGCCACTAAAGGTAAAAGGATTCATATTTTAATTGTATTTTATAGTATTAACTTTGGGTATAATATTGTTATTTTCCATACAGTCTCATGTTTTTTTTCTTCTGAATAATAATAGTACTTGTGATGTATTTATGATGACTTTTTGATGAAGATGATGATAGATGAATGAGGGGGGAGTGTTGCAATTTTGGTTACAATATGATGACGATGGTGGTGGTAGTGTTGTGATATTGGTTACAATATGATGATGACGGTGGTAGTGTTGTGATATTGGTTACAATATTATGATGATGATAGTGGTATTGTTGTGATTTTGGTTTGATAACTATGACAGTGTGTTGGTTGGATTGCAGCTACGATGATGGTGGTGTTGTGATTGTACTTACGATAACTTGTTAATCGTTACAATATGGTATTATTATTATAATCATGTTGGAGAAGCTCAGATCATGGAGTAGTGCATATAAACACCAAAAACTACTGACCTGAAAAAGCACCAATGTGTTGTGTAATACCACCAGCTTCACCCTCAGCAACCGATGTCTTTCTGAGGTAATCTAGGAGTGTGGTTTTACCATGGTCTACATGGCCCATTATGGTTACTACCGGTGATCTTGGTTTAAGCAGTGCAGGGTCACAAGGTGGTCTGTAAACAAATATCTTCAACATAAGCTTTCAGTTATTGTTAAATATATACAAATTAAATAATGATAAGGAAGGAGGTGGAAGAGGGCAA